CGTGAAATTGAAACCTGTGCTCAAATCCTCAAGCCTCAGACACACTGCAAAAACTGAAAACACCCTACTAAGTTCATATGGCCCCTCTAGTCTATGACCAGCCGAAAATATAATCCAGGACATAAATGAGTGCGACGGAGAATGGGTAAAGTAGGAAAGCGATCGAAGATGTCCAAAGAGGGAAGACAGTGCGGAAACTGCAGAAAACCCCCATCACGATGCAAACAATGAGAATAATAAGGACTTCTGCTGAGAAGTCCCACGTTAACTCTCGAAAGTAAACAAGGGCCAAAAACACCGACAGGCACAGGACGTTGTTCATGGTCGCTGATCCATACAACTGCAACAAGAAACAAAAGAGATAAAGAGGTCTTATTTCAGCATCCACTGCAGTTTCCATATGTTACAGTTAAAAACAAAGCACCATAGCAGAATAACTACTTGTGAAAAGCATTTGACATGTAAGTACTTTCTGATTTTTGTTGATTTAGAAGCCTATAGTTAAAATTGGGCATTTAGTGAACTTAATAATGATGAAACTGGACTATAAAATTGGAGAACAGTCGAACCTATTATGGATATAGTCCTAGCGGTCCACTTCTAACCGCACCGATTATATTGTGCACCAACTCGCATTCTACTAGCTGCCCAGCATGGCAGGGTCGAGGTTTTGTCGAAAAGGACATCGGTGTAATAATTAGCAGTGAAACTACTCAATAAAAGTCATGTATATTTTCTGATGTAGAATTCTTCTGTTCTTCAATAAGTTATTGACACAAATTTTCGCCATGTGAAGTACTGTCAGGTTCACAGAGTGATATAACTTAGAGTGAGATCGGATATGTGATATACGAACCTGAGAATATGTTAAAGAGGCGGTTCTGATCTTTTTGCGGCTAGCAAACATTATTGCAGACACAGCCTCACAAGAAGTAGCCAGAGGTAATGCAATGAATGAGATGAAGAACGTCGGAATGCCTGTGGCAGTTGAGAAATTATCAACAACGTCAATCAAGGGATCCGCAGCTGCAGCTGCTATAAGAGTTCCTATCAACAACATTAGAACTGCTTTGAAGGATGTCCACTTGGGATTTTCAACACCTTCAATGATCTCATCACTTTGCCCCCCGAGAAGATCGTGCTCTTGCTTAGTTTTCTGCACGTTAGTTTCTGAGTAGTTAGTGTTGAAGTTAGAGCATGCAACTCAAAATCAATTGGAGATATCGAACCTTACCAAGTGAAAGTTAAACAAAAATTTCATCGTGCGATGATCATTGTCATCTCCCGAACGCTTTGCCTCATGAATCCATTTTGAGATACCGAAGAGGAACTCATCCCGATCAATATGAGAATCGTGAGAAGTGTCAAAATCATTCATCACTTTCTCCACAGCATCATTCTTATCCAACTCTATTTCGTCGAACTTGAGACCTACAATCATTGCTCTTAACTCATTACGTGAAATATGTCCATCCCCGTTCTGATCCATTGCATAAAACAACCTATACACAAAGAATGTTTTAAGGTCAAGAATGGACAATAAAAAAAAAGTGCATTAATCCTGGTGAAAAATTTGATAAACAATGCTAACTTTATTATATTTCCTTCATTAGGTTCACCGTCATCCGTAAGGAGACTTCCGAAGCGCATTTTTAGATGTTGTAAGATTCCTGATATAACATGTTTGTGCTTTGCATACGCAATTCGCCTCCGCTGGATCCAAGGCTGAAACACCTGCACCACAATTAAATGTGTTTTGTAAGTTCAGATTAAGCTTGATTGGACATATCAGACTAGACAATTATGTAATTGATTGCTACATGAACATCAAATTTACCTGATAAAGGCAGTAAGAAATAAATAGTGCGACAGAGATAACAAGTGCAACCAAAACTGCGATCTGGCTGCCGGATTTTGAACTGAGAACCGCTGGTAATTGAACAATAATGAAAGGGAGGATAGATATAGCCATAATCCTTGCAGCATAGCTTGTCCAGATATCAGTACTCACACCAGAACCTGCAAATACAAAACATCTCCAAATTTATCATTCCTCAAGTGAGAAACACGGTTATTTAAAACATTCAGGCAGCAAATATATAGGCATGTCATGTAAATTGTAAACGAGTTATTTCCGATTCCCAGTTCACAAAAGCTATTATGAATTGTGATTAATTATATTAAACTCATGCGCAAATTAATTACTAAATAGAGGGTCAAGGGTTGAAACAAAGACGGTAAAAACGGGAGTTTTATTCCATTTAACTGTTGAAAAAGGAGATCATGTTAGTCCATTTTTTTTGTTTGAATAATGATTTGTGTTCTCTCATTAGCTTTTCAAAACTTAAAGGGTCTCTGAGGAGCGAACAACCATTTCGTAAAGTAACACTCCACTCTGCTGGAGGAGGTCGTGTTCAAATCTCATGGACGAGGACTGAATAAAATAAAAAATTAGCTCCGAGGTGAAAAATACATGGAAGGTTTTCAAATATTGAGCATTGATCCTTTCCTCTTCATGTCTTTTGATGTGTTCTGAATCCTCAGTAGGAAATGATTTTACTGTAAGAACTTATTATCATGTTTGACAAATGCAGACTGCATAGGAAAGAAAAAATGTAAACTGTACAAAGTGGACGAATATACCGGTTAAGCTAAAGCCTTTTGTATCTTTGTTATCGATGGCAACCGAGTTCTGGATATCGCACTTGCCAACGACAACGCAGGAACCCCAGATCAATGTAAGAATCAATACAGTTGAACCAGCTAGCAACCCCATTCCAACTGAGACCTGACTTTGAGCTGTTTCTTTACTCCCAGAAAGTCCGGATACTGCAAATTAAGAAGACTAGTTTAATTCAGAAACAATTTTATCCCAGTCTATCTTCCGACACTAAAATTAACTACGTCTTGTAAACATTTTTGATAAATGCTTAAGAGGACTCTCTCAAAAAATGATTCTCCGTCATCTGATAGTTTAACGTCAATTTCCGTACCAACATTATTAAACACTGTACCAAAAAACACAAGGTAAACATGAGGTAGCAGATGATTCATAAAAAGTCTTATTTTTTAGAGAGTCCCTTGGCATTTCTCAACATTTTTTTTTATATTTTGTCATGTTCATTGTTTATTTGGATAATCCAATCAAATTATTCCAAAAACTCCAAAATTTTACGGTTATTTACTAATTCTGTGTATCTTGTAAACATTTTTTATATTTGTCATGTTCGTTATTTATTTTTTTTCAATTGTCATGTTCGCTGTTAATTTAAGTATTTTTGTTCATGGCTTTTATATTATGTATTGAAAAAAGTGTTTGATTATAATGTTTCTATGTTGTATACAATCAGTAGGATACTAATATACCACAAAATGTATTATAACTTACATAATTATTTACAAAATATTATTGAATTGCATACAGAAGCAAAAAGATCCATGTAAACACATCCGAAACAAGCAAGAGGTAGAAATTTCAAATTATGATCCGAAAATTCCAAAAAATAACCACCGATTCCAGAAAACCGAAAGTTTCTAACTTAAAAGAAAAGTTTAATTTCAAAACGTTTTAAATAAAATATTGAAAACCTTATTTCTTATCCGATCAGTCTGAAAGTCACCCATTGCCAATAATTTAATAAAAGAAAAAGAAAAAAATGTGTTTCCCTAATCGTTGGCCACATGTTTGTCCAAAAAGTAACACCAAACAATTTTCATGCTTCTTCACTTTATCAACGTTGTCCCCGGCTTTTCTGGGCCCTGCGGTTTCTGTGCTTTCACTTCTCATGCATTTTAATTTTTTTTATTTATATGATTATGATTAAGTTACGTTAGTAATTTATATTAATTTTTTTATAAAGATAATAAAACAAAAATTAATAATAATATAAAATATTAACATGTGACTGCACAAATAAAAACAGATGAGAGTGTACATGAAAAGTTAGAGAAGCCAGGTCCTTCACTTTTTTCCCAGACTTTCCCGCCCAAAACCAAACAGAGAATGTTTTTTTCCCAGAGTTTCCCGCCCAAAACCAAACAGAGAATGCATAAGAGGGTAAGTCAGAGATATTCACCGAGAATGAGAATGGCGTCGGGAAGCGACCCGAGGACGGGGAGGAACAACCCTCCGACGATACCGGGGCCGAGAATCTCGAGCAATAATTCGCTCCCATTCGACAGGTACGTTGCTGCCAAGTACATCAAGTAACCGTACACCAAAATCAGGAACAGGTTCCCTAGCACGCTGTCGGTACAAGGTAAGAACCCGTACGTCTCCTCACACTCCCCCTCCGCCTCCGCCGCGATGTCTCCGGGCCGGTTGAGAGTAAGGTAAGGCACAGTGGAGTTGTTAGACCGGCGGTGTACCCCATCAGACACATTTACATCGTGCGGTGAGGATTGAGGCCTGGAGATGTTGTGGCCCGCGGCCGCTCCGCCGCAGAGGATAAGAAAGAAGAAGAGACGGTGAAATAGCAGCGTGTTGGACATGGTTTTTTCAGGTGGACGTTGAAGTTCTTGTGATTCAAAAATTTTGGCTCTTCAGATTGCAGTCCCAATTTTATGATAAGATACTGCATGCCACATAAAGCAGATTTTCAGCAGCAAGTCAACCGAGGTCCTCAGCCAATCGTGTGGCCACGTCAGCAATATTTGTGCCCACATATCTTAAAAATGTCAGCATACGAGTTGCCAAATTTTAATTTATCCTCGAATAGTTGGCGATTTTGGCACTTCTGGTTTAGCTTCCGACACTTCCAGTTTGAGTATTTTAGTGTCAAAAGATAAACTGGGATAAAACCGCTAACCGTAACCCCCATAATCGAAGCAAAAAATGTTTAGGTCAATCAAGATAGCAAGTAGCCATTTACGACAACAGTGGAAAGGTGTTGAGTTCTTGCATAATAGCGTAGGTTCAAACCTCGTCGATAACTAATCTAACAAAATCTATTGTTTGACCAAAAAAAAAAAAAAAAAAAAAGCAAAAACAAGATAACAAATTTCAGAAGGTATAACTCGAGATGTTAAAATTGCAATAACATATCAGGGTTTTGCTTATACAGAGAAAATTGTCTGATAATACAAGTGCCCCTACAAATCTCAAGTTTCTGACGAAAATGAAACAGGCATACTCACAAGAACATTATCAAATATCATGGAAACCATAAGAAAATTGTAAACTGAAAAAAACATGTCGATTTATATAAGCCGAAGACCACTCAAAACGGATTCGTACGACCTCATGTGTCTATGACCAGCCAAAAACATAGTCCAGGACGTAAACCAGCGCCAGGGAGAATGGGTAGAGTAGGTAAGCAATTGAAGACGTCCAAAGAGGGAAGACGGTGCGGAGACTGCCTAGAAGACCCATCACAACGCAAACGATGAGAATCACCAGGACTTCCGATGAGAAGTCCCACGTTAATCCCCTGGCGTAAACCAGGGCCAAAAATACCGCTAGGCAGAGGAGGTTATTCATGGTTACTGCACCATATAACTGCAACAAGAAACACAGATAAAGAGGTCATATTTCAACCGCATGATTGCAACGGCGTGATAGCAACAAAACCATACAGTACATTACTTTTCACGTTCATGAATTGGACTCAAATTATACAGTACTTTCATACATTCATTTTTTTTTCTTTTTCTGTTCTTTTGGTTAGATGCAGCACCTTCAATAGTACCTTCAGTGCAATAGTTATCAAAATAAATCTTCCATGCAATTGTATTAGTGCTCTCGAGCACCCATCAATTAATATAGCATCTCGGCTTCAGTCAAATACTCAAAATAAAACCTTCTTGTACTATGAGCGCATTATGTCAATCAACTAATACGATGGAGGGTGAAATCACAGATTCAAATTAAATATCATTCCTCCATCAACATAGTTAAATCATGACAAACAGAAGAATGTTAAATGGCTAATTGTGCAGGATACCCTAAACAATGTTGAATTTGGTCAATAATAATTTAATAGGATTGAGTTGGACACTTTAGAAAAGAGTTTGATCTGAGTGGAAGTCTAAAACTTAAAGTTGTAAGTTTATGGCAAACTTGTAAAAGCTTCAACTGATAAATTATACAACTGTTGAAGATGTGAAATATTGACAGGCTTGCAGATTGGTAAAACATCAAGAGATGGGATATGTGAGATACAAACCTCAGAAAATGTTAACGAGGCAGTCCTTATTTTTTTGCGGCTGGCAAATATAATCGCTGATACAGCCTCACTAGAATTAGTAGCCAGAGGTAGAGCAATGAATGAGATGAAGAAAGTTGGAATGCTTGTGGCATCGGAGAAATTATCAACAGCGTCTACCAAGGGATCTGCAAATGCAGCGGCAATAAGAGTTCCTACCAACAACATTAATCCTGCTTTGATAGAGGTCCACTTCACATTCTCAACACCCTCGACAACCTCATCACTTTGGTCATCCGGCCCCAAAAGAGCATGCTCTTCTTTTGTTCGCTATACTCGACAAAGCATTAACAGATTAGCATAGAAAAGTCGTATCAAATAAGCAAACCTTAAATCTATCTTCATAAGCAAACATTACCTTGTGAAAGTCTGTTAATAACTTCATTGTACGATTACTGGGGTCAGTACTGATATCTCCTTGACGCTTTGCCTCATTGAGCCATTTTGAGATGCCAATGAAGAACTCATCACTACTGATATGGGAATCACGAGAAGTGTCAAAATCAATCATCACTTTCTCTACAGCTTCATTGTTATCCAACTGTATTTCATCAAACCGGATTCCTACAATCAGTGCTCTTAATTCAGAAGCTGAAAGAAACCCATCCCTATCCTCGTCAATTGTACAAAACAACCTGACACATATCCAATCAGAAAACGAGTTGGAACAAATTCCAACAATAAAATAAAATAAAAAAATGCAACAATCTCTCAGAACAAAGAGAGACAAAGCACAGACATGACTAACTACTCCATTGGTAATACTATTATAAAATACTAACTTCTCGATAATGTCTGCATCAGGTTCACCCTCATCATTAAGAAGCTTTCCCAATGCACGCTTCTTCAGGTGTTGTAAGAGTCCTGATATTACATGCTTGTGCTTTGCATAAGCAATTTTTCTCCTCTGGATCCAAGGCTGAAACACCTGCAACAACAATTAAATATCAGTCAATAGCAGTGAAAATAAGCGTGAAGATCCAATTCGTAATACTAGGAAAAAGAAAATTGAAACAGTTTATGTTACCTACGGAACTAGCATGACAGAATCGCAATGGGTATCCAAACCTTTGGTATAAAAGAACTTACAGAATATTAATGCGCTTGAAAGTACTCAGACCTTTTAATAATGAAACCTACAAAGCATAGGCGGTTGCTCACCCTTGATTAATAATAGGGCTGTCCAAGCATATCCCGAATCCCATTACTAATTGAAGTTCATAGTTTAAAAATTAACAAGCGACAGTTTCCACCAATCTAGTGATATGGAATCCTTCTAAGAAGGCAAGACAAATTTGTGATCTTAGTTTATAATACCAATCAAAGATATGAAACAACCCAAACACCCCCTCTTAGTTTATAATACCTATCATGTCATCTTCAATTATTTTTCCTTTTTCTTACAAGTTGACAAAGTTAGCTTTACTAGGCATAAGTACCAGCAATCTTCACATGAAAATGCAAATTACATAGATGGAAGAAAAGCGGACAAATTTGTTAGCCGTAGATTACAAATAAGCTTTATAAATTAAGCAAACAGTAAAAAAAAAAAAAAAAAAAAAAAAAGATTGGTTACACTACACAGTGTATGCAATTGCTGACTTGCTGCATCAAAACTATAATTACCTGATAAAGGCAATAAGAAAGCAATAGTGCTACCGAGACAACGAGTGAGATCAAAACTGCTAGGTGTCTACCCGAGGTGGAATTGAGGAGCTGTGGTAATTGCACAATAAGAAATGGGATGACAGATACAATCATAATCGTTGCAGCATAGCTTGTCCAGATATCAGTACTGACACCAGAACCTGCAATTACCAACAGTTCTGCTTAGTTCATATCTACTTATATATCAGACATTCAAAATTTATGATTCCTGAAGTGGCAAACACAATAATTTAAAAGATTCAATCAACAAGGCATATAAAACTGGGTTTTTTTAGATGAACAAGAAGGTCAAGTAGTCAAGTTTTCTTGTTGGAACATTCACAACTTGCTCTCTCTTGTTCATATACAGAACCGGAGATTAGGAAACAAATATCAACTAATTCAACAAAGCATTCTTCCCACTACATGTCATCAAGAATACAAATTTTCTCTTAATTTCATTTTTCAATCTTTGTTTAGAATTTCATCACTAATTAAACTTTCACTGGTCAACATATAACACATGCATTCACACATGTGGATCTTAATCAATCCTTTGTTAATCGTCATTGTGTATTTTCCCATTTACCATAGGTGAAAATAATTTCTGACCACAGATAAAGAGAACAATGTTTGTAAGGTGCAAACAATGCATATAAAATTTGCAATTTACATTTCTCAAATAAACGTGCAAAGAGAATATAGACTTACCAGTTAAGCTCAACCCTTTTGTATCTTTGTTATCCATGGCAATCGATCCCTGAATATCACACTTTCCGACAATAACACAGGAACCCCATATTACCGTAAGAAGCATTACAGTAGAACCAGCTAGCAAGCCCATTCCTACAGAGACCTGACTTTGAGCAGTTTCTTTAGTTCCAGAAAGTCCGGATACTGAAAATAATACATTACATATCAGAAGCCATTAAAAGTTAATTATTAAATAGATAATCTAAATAGGATGGATAAAACAAAGAGCATCCTTTTTTTAGAACACACCACACATCCCCGAAAACCGAACATGTATAGCTAAAGACTAATGCGAAGGTTTAAGGTATTTGAGAAAATGATATATTAGACTATTGCATAAAAGTAAGAGCCTATTTGGTATTCTACTTGAATCCAACTTTTTAGACTCGAACCACTTTTTAAGTTTTACAACTTGAATGCTTGTTTGGGAGGACTGTTTTCAAAAACTGAATTCAAAACTAACTTGAAAATTAACCTACTTCTAGAAAACACAGAAAGTGAGTTTTTAAACCGTAATCCACTACTTTTACTCTCTCTTCTCCTCTCACTCCCTATTTTTCTCTCTATCATATCTTACTCTTTCCTCCCTTCCAGATTTCTCTCCTCTTTCTCTTTCCTCCCCTCCTCCCTCGAATCTCTCTCTCCTACTTTTCTCTTCTCCATCTGCTCTTTCTCTCTCATCTCTCTCACCTCCCCTCCTCTCCCGAATCTCTCTCCTCTCACTCTTCTTTCTCTCTCATCTCTCTTGTTCTCTCTAATCTCCCTCTCCTCCGACCCTCCAATTGAGTTGTTGTACGATATTTTTCTATTCTTTTTAATTATTAAAATTTAAAAACAATTTTGAATCTCATAGCGAACAAATTTTTGGATCTTAAATAAAATTGTTCTTATAACATGTTCTTAAGAAATGTTTTGAGAAATTATGAAAAACAAATTAATACGATACCAAACAGGCCCTAAAGTTCCAAAATTTGCATATGCAAAGGGCTAATTCAGCACAATTTATATTGCAGGAACACTCTCTTCTCTTCTTGATTTAGCTTTTAAGCATTCGATCTTTGTTTTTTTTATCTTAAATTTGCTTCTGAAGTACGATCACTAAACCGAAACAGGTCCAATTATTCCAGATCAAAATCTTCAAATCCGAGCAAAATTTTGGTATTAAGGACAAGGCATAAAGCTAAACAACTGGGGCCAATCCCAAATTCGAATCGCAAACAGATAGAGCAACTAACAAAAGTGGGATCCAATCTACATCACAATTCAAAATTCATTTCATATTCTCTCTACTGGGATCCAAATGAAAAGATACATTCGAAAAAAAGTTGATAATTCTAATTTGTTTTATTTAAATATTGAAAAGAAGAAAAGAACACAAAGGTTGCAAAAGTTTAAAGGTATAATCTTTCAATTTTGAAAGGAAAAAAGTTGAATTATTCGAAAGCAAACACAAACAAAACAGTGCATAATACTATGGTCTATCACTGTACATCACTCACACAAAGTCGATATTTAAAACTGCATAATTTCATCCGAAATAAACAAAAAAATGATAATTTTCTATCACTTTCTCGGCAACCAAACAGCGAGTAAGAAAAAGAGACTGACCGAGAATGAGCATGGCGTCGGGAAGGGCGCCGAGGATGGGGAGGAACAAGCCTCCGATGATACCGGGCCCGAGAATCTCGAGCAACAGCTCGCTGCCGTTGGAGAGGTAGGTGGCGGCCAAGTACATCAGGTAACCATACACCAGAATCAGGAAGAGGTTGCCGATCACGGTGGTGGTGCAGGGCAGGAACCCGTAGGTCTGCTCGCAGGTGGAGTCCTCCGCCGAGAGGGCGTTCTTGAGAGTGAGGTAGGGCGCGAAGGTATGGGACCGGTGGTGGTGGTGGACTCCATCGGAGATCAGATCGGATGACGTTGATTGGTTGAAGTCGGAGAGGAGCAAGCGGCCTCCATGGGCCTGGCCGCAGAGGACCAGAAGGAGGAGGAAGAAGGACACGTCAGAGGGTTTAGACATGGCGGGAGGCGGGTGGGTTCGGTGCTGCACACCGGCGGGGGATTGGATGTGAGGTGGAGATTGGTAAGCGATAAAGGAGAGGGACTGGGGGAGTCGGTCAGTGTCTGAATCGTGCTTTTCGGTTGGTGGTGGGGGATATGATATGACGTGGTGGGGGGGAAGACGATTTGTATTACTTAACTTTTAAGCATTAATTATGATTCAGAAGACTAATTTTTCCAACTATTTCTATTTATATTTTTAAATTGATATTTTAAATTCCAAGTAATTCCATCCAAATTTAAAATTTCTATTTTTTTCATATTTTTTTCCTTTTTAAGATGTGCTCCAATTCTTATAAAAATGCTTCTACAGGGGTCATCTGGCTCATTTCTTTTATTTTGGGATGGTGATAACAATACACTTATTTTTACTTTTTTCAGATTCCGTTTAATTTTTAATTATCAATTAGTATAAATTGAAAAAGATCAATGAACAAATATTACCAAGTATGTGTGAAAAGTTTAAAAAAAAAAAATGTTTGGATAGCACTACTCTTATTTTATTTGGTTGAAGTCTTGTTGAAAGATTTGTGACTACTGATGACTCATTCAATCTTCTATGTATGGGCCGGCCTAAATGAAGTTTTTGTTTTCTTTATCAATTAAACAAAGATGAAAAAATATATTTAAACCCAACACATAAAGTTTAGGGGCTTGGTTTATTTTTATTTTTTATACAACGATAGATTTTATATTAAGAAATGAGGAAATATGTTAGTATAGAACTTGACATATATATTTTTATTTTCTATGCTATCATAGATTTTTTTTTTTTTTTACTCCCCATCTTATCACGTTTTTGGCACAATTCGCGTGCTAATATTGTAAAATCTTGTGCAAAAAACATGAGGTAGTGTAGAGTTCATAGAGTCTCACTTTGAAAAAATCTTCTTAGCATTTCTATATACAAAATATAGTTTAAAGAGGAATACTAGGTCGACTGAATTTTGTAAACTAAATAACATGAAAATTAATGATTGAATTATTACTTAATTGTTTAACTGTTGATTAACATGTTTAGATAACATATCATTTAATACAAATTTCGTCTACAATTTTAATTTACCTAGCATTACTCTAGTTTAAATAGTTGATCTCCGAGCATTACTCAAAATTCTTTTCTTTCTCAATATATTTACCCACTTGCAGATTTTTATAGCTTTACCACAAACATTTCACCATCATTTCCAACAAAATTCGTCATTTGGATATTTCAAACCATTTCACATTAACTATGGTGGATGCTCATCATCCTTCTTTTAAGACTGCTACGTGTCTATTTTTAATTGTAGTTAACATTTATATTAAAGGTTTATTATTAAATTTTTAAAAGGCATAAAAAAGCTAATAAACATTAAAAATACAAAAACCCAACAGTCAAGAAAGCTGCACCGCCACCATCACCTTGCCACCGTCGGCGAACCCACCCTCTTGCATACTCTCTCTCTCTCTCTCTCTCTCTCTCTCTCTCTCTCTCTCTCTCTCTCATATTTCCAATTGAGGATACCAGCCTTCGAACCCACAACAATGATGATTCAAACGCTCAATTTTGATTTAAAAGCTTTACAAAACTAAGTAATCATGAAATAAATAATTTCAACAGTCACCTAACCCAGTCACATCACCTCGCCGGCAGCAGCCATCTCACCTCCTTGCCGCCGGCTATTTTCTTCCCTTCAACCTCTCCTTCTTCTTCCCCCATCCAACCTCTCTCTCTCTAGACATTGTTCTAGGGTAAAGATAATCTGAAATGGGAGGAGGAGAAGGAGACCGGGTGTGGACGACAACGAAGGAAGCGCGCTAAGGCTCTAATGGGTTGTAGGTTTGGAAAAGAAGATGGAACAGTCAATTAAAATATATATTTTTTAGAATAAATTACACAAAATTACTTTAACTATGGGTCAAATCATAATCTCATACCTTATATTTTAAAAATGACAATATTATACTTCATCTTACAAATTTGTTACAATGTCAAATCTCCGTCAATTTGTTTAATTATTTTGTTAAATATTGACGTAGCTTAAAGTGGACCACACTCTTTAGCCCATGTGGATAAAAATATTAATAAATTGACGATAAAATTATTTTAATATTTTTTGTAAAAACATATGGGACTCACCCTCTTCTCTCTCCAACCCTGTCACATCCGATCTCTCTCCTCTCCCCTATCTTTCTTTCACATCCAATCTCTCTCCTATGTCTCTCACAACCGATCTCTCTCCTCTCTCTCTCCTATCTCTTTCTCACATCCAATTTCCTGAGATTCTTTCTTCCTCCATTCTTAACCTTCATCCTCTATATTTCACAACTCATTTCGTTTGTTTCCCAGAAATTCAAATCGGCATAAAGAAAAAAAAAATTTCACCACTCTCCTCCTCTTTCTCCAAAAAAATTTCACGTTCATCCTCCAAATTTCACCACTCATTCTCTGTCCCCCAGAAAAAAAAATGGACAAAAAAAACCCAAACTTTTTTTTTTTTTTTTGCAAGCAAGGGTTTGTCAGGCCTGGGGACTGGGTCGAATTTAAGGATCTAGAAGAGAGGAGGTAGAAGGTCGAGATGCAGGGGTCGAAGTAGAGGTAGAAGATGTCATCGGCGAGGCTGACGACGATGAGGGGATAAAAATTGATGTTGTTCTTGATTCCGAAAATGATGAGGAACCCATCATCGTAAATGGGCGATCCGAAAGTTATCTTGACATTGTTGAGCGAAGGGTGACCTGGTGACAGAGAGGGAGTGCGCATAGAGTAAAGTCGAGATCTTGTGCTAACGATGAGGGATTTGAGGTTTTGAGGTTTTGGATTGGGGAAGATGGATAAGGGTGATGGGTTTATAGGGGGTGGGTTCAACAGCAGGGATTTGGTGGAGGAAGAGGAGGGGGAGGAGCTCCAAGGGAGGGAGGTGGAGATGGCCGAGGAGAAGGATGTAACGACTCGTCCCCAAAAACTACGGTTTTTATAGTTTTAAAATGTGAAATTTTGAAAATGCCCTTCGAGGCAAATGCATTGACTTTTGGTGACCGCCTTGTGAAGTCACATAAGATCCATTTTCTTGGCGTATCGTCGTAGTACTCATTGTTACGAATGCGTGGGCACAAACAGAACGTAATTTGGAGTTATAATGAAGGAGTTATTAACGAATGAAGTCGAGGGCAAAATTGTAAATTTATTATTTTTTGGAACGTTCCAGATTTTTGGAGCAAAATCTGGAAAGCCACATGTGTGGCTGAGATTGAATGGAATGAAAGATGGTCGGTGGAGATAGAAAATAAAGGAGAGAAAAGAGGGAGAGGTGAGGACGAATGGAGAGAAGGAGAAAGGGGGAGAGGGTGAGTGACCAATGAGAAAAAGAAGAAAGGAAGAAAAAGGAAAGAGTGGAGGAGCACCGAATCACCCTGACCCAATTCTTCCCCGCGCGACCGACCCGTTTCTCTTCAAATTTTCCTGTTGTTTTCTTCGGTTTTCCTTCAATTTTCTGAAAAATTGTAGCCAACCAACACCACCAATCAACTCGGTGTCATCCCAATCTCCATTACCACCCAAGTTTGATGGCTATAGGTCGTGATTTCACGACGAACACTCACGTCGGCTCGGAGGACACCCACAGCGGTGAATCCGCCATTCATGCAATGATTTCGTGCAATTTCCACCACCAATGTACTCCCATCAACCTCAAGAACAAAGCCCATGCATTGGTTAAGGTGTCGAAGCTTGTTTAGAGTCGAATCAAGAACCCAAATCCTAGGGTTCGGGCGTGGCGACTTGAAGCTTTTCCCGGCTAAATTGGACTTGACCACAGGTATAAAACTTGCTTTACTCATTAAGATCTTCATTTCTATGAAATTTGGGAACTTTTAGAAATAGTTGATTTTTTTGGCCAGTCGGGACAGCCGACCGCCGTGTACGGTGGCGCATGGCCCGAGACATCCCCTAACCTTCCTAAACTAAGTTTGATACCCCAATTCTATAGGTGAAGTTAGATTGATGAAATCTCATCATATGAGCATAATTTTGATAGAATCTGGCACTTGATTATAATCAATGATCCGACCGTTGGATCATCACCAAATTTTAATATTTTATAGTACGTAATATATGAGGATCATAGGAAATTATGGATTGGGAATCCAATGTACGGATCTTCCCGAATTGGATTTGTAAGTTCATAAAATAAAACGTTAACCGCCACTTGAACTTGCAATTGGCAGAGATCCAACCATTGGATCGTAATGAAACTTTAGTATGATGTTTTAGAAGTATAGTGTGGATTTTTGGAAGTTACGGATCGGAAATCTATGATGCGGATCTTCCAGATCGAGTTACGTAGGGTTGTGGAAACTACCGTCAATTTTTTACCAACGGTTGACTTTTGGTCATTGGGTCCCAAATCATTCTAGAACATCCTTGGGGATGTATTTTATGTAAGTTATATGTTCTATCGATAAGAATTCTGAGATGTGACTGAATATTTGTTCTAGGCGCCGATCATTCGTGACATCTCGATATTCGTGCTAGGTAGTTGTAGTGCATACTCCAGGTGAGTAGGTCTTTTTCTTTTTTATAATATATATAAACTTTATAGTTTCCACGAATGCTTTGAACTGAGTTATGCATATCATGCCATGATTAAATATTGTTATATTTAAAATGTTGCATTATTATGAAATTGTGAAATGCCAAACGATCCTATAGGATGCATATGTAAGTTCAGGTAAGTTTACTTTGTGATTGAATAGGTTGTATTGCATTGGTATGCACACATTTATTTAGAGCTCATCATGATTGCACCTCAGTATTAGTGCTCCTACCCGGGGCTAGGGCCAGCCTTCACGTAATTGTTCACCTTCTGCACCACATGCTCATCTTGGATCCAAGTCTGGTGTCATCCTATCGTACAGACCACAATAGGTGGTTCCGACTCATAGGTGACCCGCGAATTATCGCACAGCCTTCACGTGATCGTAGCACTTAAG